GGATCTGCTGCTGTTCCTTTGGCCTCTCTGAGAAACGCGCTCGTTTTGCTGCTTTCATCAGATTGAAGAGGTTCCCTCTATCAGACTCGCTCATCTGAGTTGGTCATGATGCAGGATCGCTGCTCGCTCTCTCATCCATCCTGCTCACACTCTCCGACGGAAAAGCCCCGAATCTGAATGTGACTCTGGAGGAAAAAGCGGTTAGCTCTACTCCGTGAACTCTGGTGAGCAAAGGTCCTCTTTTCCAGACTGGATCTGTCCTCAGCTGATCAGAACCAAAGCGTTGGATCTTTAATCTCCTGCGTTGTTCTGAAGCAGCATCTTAATCAGCTCTCCTGCTTTGTTTCTATTGCAGCTGTTAGCTAAACACGGCTAAAGAAAACCTGCTACCACTTCAGGATCATCCATCAGCTGGGACTGATTCATCGTGTGTTCTTCACCACCTGGACCTGGACAGCATGGACACAGGTACTGGTGGATGAATGAATGAATATATGGTCAGTCTATGGTGGGACATTACAGTGAAATTATGAGAATGAGGTTCAATCTTTAAAATAATGATCTGTATATGTTTAGCACTACTGGGGTTCTAAAACCCCCCAAAGCGTTTTACATCACAACCAGTCATTCACTCATTCACACACTGTTGTAGAACCTTGTAGTTTTAGAGTGATTAGATCTCTCTAATGAATGATTTTTGAAGCCAAGTATAGTTAAAGTCCCAAAGTCATCGTCACACACTGGTGAAGTTACGTCCTGCATTCGACCCGTCCCCATGGGGAGCGGTGAGATGAAGCTGTGGGAACTATTTGGTCTTCTGTCGGGTTTCAGTCACTACGAGAATCAGTCAGAGACAGGAGAGGTTTTCATCGTGTTCACAACCTACCTTTGTTGTAGCGTCAGTCACGCATCATCATTTGACCAATCACAGTTGGGGAGACAGCCTGCTGCAGACACGACGGCAGCGGCGCTGACAGCACGTATGACTGCTGTTGCTTCAGCACGTCGCTGTGGTTTAGAGCTTAAAGGCCCAGTGTGTAAAAACATTCGACTCTTCAGCGCCACGCAGTTCAGAGTAAGTATTGCAGCTCCGGTAGCCCACACTAGGGTTGGGCTGTTTTTCCATTCGCCCATCATTAGTCCAGTAAATGACGATGGGCCGTGGTGTGTGCGTGTGACTGATTACGGTATGATTCACTGACTGATTTGCGAACACAGAAGAAGTCTAAACATGGATGTTTTTATGGATGTGCAGCACAAATTAGATTTTTCTTTTTGTTGAACTCACTCACTGCCAGCCGTTTCCTGATCAGAAAAGCTCTTCGCTGCCAGCGTTTTTCAGCGTTTTTACAGTTTTTTTTAAGAGTCACAGAACGTTGCTCTATGATGATGTCAACGCCAAAACTACCAAAACAAAGAGTAGACTCACCTCTTACAGGAAGAATCCGCGCGTTTTGAACGTTATCTGTTCTTTCATAAGCCGTTGTTGAAATGTGATCGGCAGAAGCTTTTCCGGTTCTCGCCTCACTATTTTTTTTACAGCAGCGTCCCAAAACGATCTCCTAACACACACGTGTCAGACACCATGTGGCCCGTGGAGCATTTTTATGTGGCCCGCGAGATAATTATCAAAAATATATTAAAACTGACCCGCTGGCCGATTTTACCGCAAAGTCTACAACTCCCATGATGCTTTGCAGCGTTAGCGCGGAGCCGAAGCGCCCCCTCCGTTGTGTTTTTTCCAGCGTCTGCTGCCGGTGTCTGCAGCTCCGCTGTCTCGGACAAACTAAACACTCCTCTCACTCAGCGCCGAGTTTATTCAGCTATTTTCTGACGTTGAAGCCCAGAAACGGAGATTCTAGCCGCTCAGTAATGTGTTCACGACCGAAAGAGAAAGTTTTCCAGCTAACTTCCAGACAGAGCTGATATAACTCCAGCGAGCAGCGACACGCTCAAACCAGCATGACTCTGTGGCTGCTGTAGTTGTTATTTTTCCTCCCCGACACACAACGACGTGGTCAAGCTGCTCAGACATGTTCAGCAGCACAAACCTATGTGAGCACCTGTTGTCATCTAATGTTGTCATTATTATGATGAAGATGAACAAAACAACAGGAGTCTCCTCCTCAGCTCAGATCAACCCCATGATGCAGGTATCTGGCTGGAACAGGTGAGCATCACAGTAAACCAGTGGAGCAAACTGAGCTTTAAATATGTTGGTTTTATGCTCTTTTTCTGCTCCAAAGCATGAAAGTTAACAGGTGAGATGTTGCATTTTCATTTAAGATAAAATGATATTTTTATTTTGTTGTTGGCCCGTGAGAAAAGATTTAACCTACAGTAAACAGGAAGTGGAAAGGCTGCAGATAGATGAATAGAATAGAAAATCCCTTTATTGTTCCTCAGTGGGGAAAGCTAGAGGTCACAGCAGCGATGACACGTATTACAGGAGAAAAAAGGAGAATAAAAAATAAGAAAAATGAATAAACAACAAGAAAACATAAATTCTGAACAGATTTTAAAAATGCTGAATATACCACAAGTAATGAATACCACTGATGCCTTTATTTAAAACTGACTTGCTCGTGTGTAATCTGGTTATTCCACATTCAGTGTTAATGCAGAAATAAGTTTGTTTCCAAATTAAAAGGTTCTAAATTGCATAAATGTTGATAAAGAAAATGTGCAAATTTGCCGTCACTTTTTCAAAAAATATCAAGTTTGGCCCTCGACTCCGTCCCAGATTTTCATTTCGGCCCCGTGTGAGTTTGAGTTTGACTCCCCTGATCTAACACGTGGATTTTCTGCTTCCTGATCACGTGACGTGTGACGTACGCGGATGAAGATCGGCTTTAGAGCTGGGATGTTTGTTCTCACGGTGCGGGGGCTCGTTCCGACGCCCACACAGTAAAAACATGCCAATGACAGTTAAAGAGTTGTTAAAGCGTTGAAAGGAAGTAGGGCTGAAACGAATCATCAAATGGTTCGATTCATTAAGATAAGATAAGATAAGAACACCTTTATTTATCCCGAGGGAAATTCTTGTGTCATGTACATGCTCAAAGCAGTCGGAGACAAAGGAACAGGTGAAATAGAAATATGATATACAATATATACATTTAAATAAAGATCTACAGTAGTACCATGTAGGATAGTGCAAAACAAACAATCGCATATCTCAATAATCAAATACATGACTGCATCCTTGTGAATAAGTAATTAAGCCGTCGGTGCAGGCGATTCACAAGTGATTAAAGTATTGTGTAATAGAATAAGGGTTTGTAGCAGCATATGATATGATGGGGGGATAAAAACATATTTACAATCAGAACTCTTGGGTAATATTGCACAGTTGGTGAGAGCACAGAGTAACCTAGGTAACAGTATTAGGAGAATCACCTACAGCGTGAGGAAGAGTTAAACAGTCCTATTGCCACCGGTACGAAGGATTTCCTGTGGCGGTCAGTTCTGCATTTCGGGGCAATGAGTCTTTTGCTGCGTTTGCTTCGATGGTCCATCATGTGGGCGTGCATGGGGTGGGAGGGGTTGTCCATGATAGAGAGAAGCTTTTTTAGCATTCTCCTCTCAGACACCTCCTCCAGGTTCTCCAGTCTAACACCCAGGACAGACCCAGCTCTTCTAATCAGCTTGTTCAGCCGGTTGGCATCAGCTATCTTCACCCCACTGCCCCAGCACACAGCTGCAAAGAACGCGACGCTCTCCAACACCGAGTGATAGAACATGGTCAGCATTTTCCTCCCAACATTGAAGGACCTGAGCCGCCTCAGAAGAAAAAGCCGACTCTGCCCTTTTTTGAAGATGGCATTGGTGTTCTTAGTCCAGTCCAGTTTTCAGTCCAAGTGAACCCCCAGGTACCGGTAGTCCTCAACGATCTCAACGTCAGCCCCTCTTATGGTGACAGGAGTAGGAGGTGGGGCCTGCTTCCTAAAGTCCATAATCAGTTCCTTAGTCTTTGTGATGTTAAGTTGTAGGTGGTTTCGCTCACACCACTCCACAAAGCTGTCCACCACACTCCTGTCCTCCACCTCCTGACCATCCCTGATACAGCCCACGATGGCAGAGTCATCAGAGGATTTCTGCAGATGGCAAGACTGAGACTTGTACCTGAAGTCAGATGTGTAAAGGGTGAAGAGGAAGGGTGATAGGACTGTCCCCTGTGGCGCCCCCGTGCTGCTCAGGATGTTATCTGAGCGGCAGCTCATCAGTCGGACATGCTGTGGTCTACTTGTTAAATAGTCCGTAATCCAACCTACAAGTGGGGCGTCCACCTGCATTTCCGTGAGCTTGTTCCCCAGCAGTGATGGTCTGATCGTGTTAAAGGCACTAGAGAAGTCGAAAAACATGACCCTCACAGTGCTCCCAGCAATGTCCAGATGAGAGTATGCCCGGTCCAGCAGGTAGATGAGGGCATCCTCCACACCGATACGAGGTTGATAAGCAACCTGCAGGGGATCCAACCATGGCTCCACCAGCAGCCGCAGATGTTTTAGGATGAGTCTCTCCAGCGTCTTCATGACATGTGAAGTCAGAGCCACTGGGGGTCGACGGGTTGATCTTTTTAGGGACAGGAACCCGGCAGGATGTCTTCCAGAGTGATGGAACGCTCTGCATCTCCAGGCTCATGTTGAAGATCCGTTGAAGTTCCTCGATTCATTTTTTACTGATTCGAAGCTTCGTTAAACGTGCGCTCCACAGTCTGAACACGTTTTACTGGAGCTCTACGTGGTGATCTCGGTGCTGTGGTGGAAAAAAGAGAAACCAGCAACGACGGAAACCATCGTTAGAGGCAGAAACGGTCCAACGTTTGGATCAAGAGTTAAACTACAAGCAAACTACTGAATTGGCTGACTGAGTGGAGGTGGTTCATAGATGTCGCAACCTTTATGTCAGAAGGGAACCCCCCCCCCCCCCCCCCCCCACACACACACACCTTTTGCTCTTTCCATTGTTCTCAAAGACATCCATTCCACTTGATTCATTAGAAATGAGTCAGTCGGCTGAAGTCCGTTCCACGTTTTCCTGGTTGCTCTGCTGCACGCATGGTGGGCGTGACTGACATGGTTGTCAACAAAGTTAGAAAATAAAAGACCGAACGAACCAAAGTGAAACTACAGGCTTGTGGAAGCTGGAGGAGGAGTCAGTGCCATTACTATCCCATAATAAGCAGTGTCCTTGTCTGATCCCTCCACAGACACGGGGACATGAGGACATTTCTTACAAAGAAGCATAAAATAAGTAAAACTGTCCAGAATGAATGCTGACAGATGCTTTGAAACCCTCCGTCCCCCAGTTCTGGTTAGAACTGGGTTTGCCCGCGGGTCATCTGGGTGAGGCCACAGAACCTGCAAAGACTCTCAAAAGGTCTGGAAAAGGACCGGTTCGGCTGGCTCCGGTGAAGTGGAGACGGTCATACTGGGAAGTTTCGGTAATGGAAACACACCAATTAGTGCCTGGCTGTCCTATAAAAGACACCCATTCCTCCTTTTTGTGTGAGGATGCCAGCTGGTCCTGTTCCCCTGCAGATAGCTCATCAGTACTTAATACAAGTTGTTTATTGTTTATCTACGTTGGTGTTAGTTTGGGATGTTCTGATCATACCAGCAACACCTGTGTGAACCCTGTGTGATGCACTTGGGCTTCTTCCCCTTTTCCTTCATGCTGTGCAGGACAGCAGCAACAATGTAAAACAACATGTCCGCCTAACTTTAACTCTGTCTGCGAGAGTGATGTAAGCTTTGAGTCCTGCAATGAAAAGCTCCAGCTCCTGGGGAAGCTGATCACAGCTGGTTTAAAAAGATGTGAAGAACAACATCTGGGTGGAGTGAGGTGAGTTTCCAGGGATCGCTGCAGAGATAAACACCTCCCAGTCAGACGCAGCTACGCTCACCAACACCCGTCTGTATGAGCGTCAGAAGGCTCGGCTAATAACCGGACCATAAGGAAGTTCATGATGCTGGAAGAGCAGCCTTTCTCTGTGGTGGAAGAAGAACCAAGTTTATTCATACAGCACGTGTCCCAGACTGAGGTCACACAAGGAGTTACAATAAAACGCTGAACACTAAAGCTAGAACATAAGACAATGAGTAGAAAACAACAGGCTCCGCCCACTGCTCAATCACCAAGTAACCCACTACAGGACATATAATAATAACAACTACAATAATAATCATTATAATAATATAATAACAACAATAAATCTCCCAAAGTGCTAATTTGTAAGGTTCCTTTGCTTTGTAGTGCTTTAGCCTGCTGAGAGCTTCAAAGTTAAAGGTTGTTACTGACAGCAGCTACATCTAAGTGTTTATTCATTTTCCTTTTGACTGAATAGTTGCTGATTTGATCTTGGAGACGTTTCTCCTCACATCAGCTTCAGATCTAAAGAATGATTTGTGAGTAGGTGTTGCGCTGACCTTAGAGGTGTGGCTGCCCCTCTCTATTGTTCCTCATCCTTTCCCTACATGCTGACTCCGTTGCGCGTTGCCAGCGCGTGACCGCAGATGGAACCTGCGTGCGCTCCGGCGCGCGCCTCGCCAGCTGAGCAGAATTGAGGCAATTAAGAGCTCGTGCTCGGGGGAAATGAAGTACAGCCAAAATGTCTGCAACAAGCTTTTGCCCAGCGCGCGGCAGACTGAGAGGAGTGCAGAGCGAACACAAATGGGTACACTGTGAGGAGGAAGACTTTGATCTTGACGGGCTGTCGGTAAGCTCTTGGATTCACGTCTTTATATGGACTCTTTATCCGTCTGGGTGTGAATGGAATTTACTGAGAGGAAGTGTGTTAACGTCTGGAGTGCCAGAAATGACTGCAGGAATAATAGTAAATTAAATGAAAGCAAGTTAAGGCAGAAAACAGATGTATTCATGTATTTAATTATTTGTCTGGTAAAATCAGTCTTTTTTCATCCTTGCTTCATTGTGAAATGATTCATCTCTGAATTAGCAGCCAGTACTTGTAAAAGCAGATAGAATAGTACTTGTCTAAAACTAGACGCCCAACTGAAGGTTACTAAAGATGCTGGTGTGTTCTCCTTGCTCTGTATTACCTGTAACAGCATTGAAGTTTATCTGCATGATTTAGTTACATGTTTATTTTTGTTATTTAAAGCTTTTCCACCTGACTGGTTCCTGAACCCGGACTGATCTCAGTACTGGTCAAATAAATTGTTCTGAGTGAAATCCAAAGTCTGCTCTTTCCAAGTGTCGGCACCTCACAGTGGAAGAAAACACTTGACAGTAGGAGGCTTAGAAGTTCTGGTCAGAACCAAACACGCTGATTGTGATGGAAGTTTTTATTGATCCTAAAGTAGAAATATGTTTTTATCTAAATGAAGTTCATGTTCTTGTTCCTTTTCCCCACATCATGTAGCCGGTATCACTCGTGGTGTAAATATAAAGGTATGGTGGTGTGTAACATCATGTGTCTGTGTTTCCTACAGATGTTCAACAGCTGGTGCTGGTTAAAGAAGAAGATCCTGAAGAACAGAGTGCTGGTGTGGACCAGCAGGACCCAGAACACCTCCACATAAAGGAGGAACAGGAGGAGCTCTGGACCAGTCTGGAGGGAGAGCATCTCTGTTTGAAGGAGGAGACTGAAGCTGTCGGGTCTCCTGTTACTGCTGTTTCTATAAAGAGTGAGGATGATGAAGAGAAACCTCTGGTCTCACAGCTTCATCAGCAGCAAATAGAAGACAGAGATGTTCCAACCAGCAGCTCAGCTGACCAGATGACCGCAGAAACTGGTGGAGGAGCAGGAACTAGCAGGAACCCAGATCTGAACCCTCATGAACAAACATCTGATTCTTCAGAGACTGAAGTTAGTGAAGATGATGATGATGAAGATGATGATGATGTGAATCTGGACTCTGGGTCTGAAACTGGAGATGAAGATGATGACTGGAATGAGAGCAGGTCTTCTGAGTCAGATGGTAAGTCTGTCAACAAGTTCTTCACAAGTGGTCTCTCCAGAGACACGTGAGGGAGACGAGTCATCCAGCAGTCAGGTCTTCAGGCTGTTTGGTTCATAAGAAATGTGTTAGAGTGAAGCAACATGTAGACTCGTGCAGGAAAGTCCAGAAGAAACCTAAATCATTTAGTCATGATGACTGGAGAAAGGTTTACTACAAATGTAAACAAACAAATCACATGAGAGTCCACACATAGCAGCTGCTGTTCCAGAGTATGGGCCAGCCTCATCCCACCCATACTCTGCTTCTGGCCGCTAACAAGATGGCGCCTGTGTTTGGAATAGCCACAGTTCCGTTTCCACATTCCCGCCTGGCCACGGGGCAGCGCCGTGTCTCCGTCCATGTTTCCTCGGGTCTGTTTATCCTGGTTCTTCAGTGGTTTCCCTTCCTGTTCCCTCCATGAGTGGACTTTACACACCGTGGATCTGACCTGCTAACTCCAGCTGTTTCTGCTTCTGGCAGGAGAAATTATGACACGTCTCTAAATAAAGTAAAATTTTCTAGTGCAGAGTGGAGACAACCCATAGAAGCACTGATTTGATCTCATTTCAGAGAAAAATAGAACAGGTTAGATGCACCTAATAAATAAAATTATAACAAACTCAGGAATCTGTTTCTTTGCTTCACTGTTCTGGTGCTGAGAATATCACTAATGCGGATCAAAGGAGATACACAGATGAATGCACCTCTTATTTATTATTTGGAGACTACATTTACTGCAGCTGGCAGAGGCAGAGATTTTTTCTATTGATACACGAATTTACAGAATCATTTTAAATGTTAATAGGGGAAGACTGCAGGAGGGAGCGGTAAAATACAGGGGGACCCCAGCAAAAACAAACTTTACGAGCCTGATGAAACCCGCTGGTTTTCCATCAGGCAGTCACGGGGCAGCTCCAACGACCCAGTGGCTGTGCTGGGTCAATGTTATCGAGCTCAGTCGAGGCGACGTCGTGCTCTGCTTAAGAAGAGGTGTTATTTTCCCGCTTCAGAAGAAGCGTCCAACGTGTTTTTACGCTTTCTCCGAGACATGTCACGTCGCTAAGTTGTTAGCGCCGCGCGCTAACACGTCAATAGTGCAGCGTAGCCTGCTGGAGGTTTTAAGGGTTCAGATGAAAACACCCGACCTCTCAGGCTGCTCACACATCGATCTTAAGTTGTCGCTGTTGCGCTCACATCGTAATACAGTATTAGATGTGGTTAAAGTCAGACATGAAAAAATAAATAAATTTTACATGAATAAGTGATGCTTATCCTGGTGGGGGGAGGAAACCCTGTCAAGATCGTCAACGGTCATTTATCTTAATGCTATTGAAACATGTAAACCAAAAAGCATTATATCCACTGCTACCTTTATGCTGTAACTTCACCCTGCCCTGCCTGCTCCTCCTTGCTGCCTGCCGGCTGTGATCACAAGCGACAACATAGTAGTTCCCGCTGCTTCCTCGGGAAACAGCTAAAAAAAATAAATAAAACTTGGGATCTTGTAGGCGTGGCGGTGGGATTTCAGCCGTGGCGGGCCGCCATGGCTACGCCTATGTAAGGGAAACCCTGACAACTGTTTATGAAATAACGTTACCTTAATTAATGACATATTTTCCTAGTTTACATTATGTTGTTTGAAACCAAGGGTCTCATTATCTGAACTTTTTAACTTATTGGATCGTGAATCTGTTTAAAAACTTTGCTCTATATCAGGGTTGTTCCTGGCTCAGACTGAGGCAGAGGTGGTACCATCCTGACCGTGCGCCAGCACATGCGTACTCTGTGCATTCAACTGCCTCACTTTTTTAAAGGCCAAATATGTTTTCGTTAAGTGTTCTAAGCTTCTGGCGATTAATAGAATATTCCATTTGACAACGTTTCAAGTGAAACAAAACTGGTTTGCTGCTAAAAAATATGAAATAAAACAACAAAATGATCAGGCTGAAATAACAGACTCTTATTATGAAAGGCTCAATAATATGCATTAGATTGGCGTTTAGTTCCTTTTTCCCATCTGATATTTATAGTTAAAATATTTTTATATATTTGACCTACATTTCAGTAACATTTTAGGTTTGTATTAATAACACTCATCTTAGTCATAATAACACATAAATATATGCAGTAAAATATAATGCATTTCATTAACATGCACTTGTGTTGGAAATGGTAATAACATTTAATTTCTGCTGCTAACAATGAAATGGTGGCATGTCTATTATGTACGGGTTAGCAATAATCCAGTTCAAATTATGTTCAAAGATAGACGCGTTTGTGAATTATATACCACAACGGCTTGTATACCACAACGGCTTGCCCTAGACTTGTAGCTGTAATGTGACCCGTATCTGGTCTAATGAGCTTTGAAAGAAAAGCGTCTGGACTTCTTTGAGTTGCTTGAAGACGTTTCACCTCTCATCCGAGAGGCTTCTTCTGTTCTAAGGTCAAATCTTCTTCTTCCTTTCTGGTTTAAATGGCGGGTGGCAACCAACTTAAGGTGCATTACCGCCACCTACTGTGCAGGAGTGTGAGTCAGAGCGAGGAGAGAAATATATATATATATATATATATATATATATATATATATATATAAATAATAAAAAACTAAATTCTACTAAATACCTTAATTTTCCTAAGAAACTCTAGCACCAACTTATAATTGGACCCACTGCCATTTAACAACGTTCTCAAATTCCAAATGCCACATCCTTTATCTTTCAACCTATCTATAAATTTACCCCTAATTACATCAAACTTACTACAAAAACACAAAACATGTTCTACCGTTTCCTGTTCTGTCCCACAATCACAAAATCCTGTTTGATGTTTTCCCAAAATATGCAAAGTGCTGTTCAATCCCGAATGTCCTAATCTCAATCTCGTTATTATTGTTTGTTCCCTATTATGTAACTCCTTAAACGACCTTTTACCTACTACGTTCTGTATATTAAATAAATGTCGGCCCTTTTTATCCCTTACCCACATGTCCTGCCATTCATTCATAATTCTATCCTTAATCATTGACTTCACTTCGTTACTGCTAAAAGGGATCGGTTTCACTACTTCTAACTTTACTGCTTGCTTTGCGTAATAATCTGCTAATTCATTACCTTCTATCCCCCTGTGCGCCGGTACCCACATAAATCTTATTTCAATCCCTAAGGCACACAACCGAAATAGGCATTCAAATATTTCTAGAAAAATATCAACTCTATTTTCATTACTTCTTGAATGAAGTGCCAACAAAACTGATAAAGAATCCGTACATATTATACAATTTCTAAATCTATGTTGCTCAATCCAATCCAAACAAAAATAAATCGCCAGCATTTCAACTGTAAAAACTGACATACCATCTGGAGTTCTAATTTTCACCCCTTTACCCACCACTGGAATATAGAAAGAACAACCCGTCCTCCCACTCACAGAGTCTTTCGATCCATCTGTAAAGACTGGAATACAATTTTTATGAACACTATTTAACCTATCATTCAAAATACTATCCCAATTACCTTTGCCCTTATTCATACACATCATATTTTTAAGATAAAAGTCAATATCACACCTAGGAAAAAGCCAATATGGAGTCACTGAACATAAAAACTTATTTACAAATGTAATACCAGTTAAGTTATACCCTTCTGCTAATGTGGTTGCTTTCTCAAGCACGCAATCACCACGTCCAAACCCATATTCCCCATACAAAGACAATACATCTTTAACCAAATGGTCATCCCGTGAACACCCTTGAATACTAGCCCAATAGTTTAGTAAATTTTTCTTAAACCTCAGTCCTATTGGCGTTTCTCCCATTTCAACTTGCAGAGACGTTACAGGTGACGTTTTAATCGCCCCACAACAAATTCTCAAGGCCTGATTTTGTATTCTTTCAATCCTCAGCAACAAAGTCTTACATGCTGAGCTATACACAATACTCCCATAATCCAGTACCGATCTAATCATTGTTGTATATATATGTTTCAAAGCTTTTACACTAGCACCCCAAGCATAACCTTTTAGAGACCTCATGACATTTAAAACTTTTTTACATCTTTCCTCAATATTACACACATTTTCTTTCCAAGTTAACTTACTGTCAAAAACAACCCCCAAATATCTAAAACTGTTCACCTGTTCTATGATCTCACCATATAAACGGAGATTCATTTCCACCTTTCTCTTCTTCGTAAACACCAAACATTTTGTTTTAACAACCGAGAACTTAAAACCCCAATCATACGACCATTGTTCTACCTTGGAGTTTTCAGCTTGCAATTTCTGTTGCACGTGTCTGACATTTCGTCCTCTTTTCCACAACATCCCATCATCCGCAAATAGTGCCCTGCCAAAATCATAACCTACGTCGTCAAAAACATCATTAATCATAATAGAAAACAACAACGGACTAATTATACTGCCTTGAGGCGTTCCATTCTCAACTAAATAACTTTTCGATACGACATTCCCTATTTTTACTCGTATAGATCTACGAAATAAAAATTGTTTAACCCAATCATAAACCCTACCAAATATCCCCAACCTCTGTAATTTTATTAATAATCCTTCCTTCCAAACCATATCATAAGCCTTTTCTATATCAAAAAATACCACCACCAAACTTTCTTTATTCCTTTGCGCAATTCTAACTTCATTCTCTAAACAAACAATGGGATCCATCGTACTCCTCCCTTTCCTAAATCCACTTTGACATTTCGTAATCAATTTATTACTTTCAAGATAGTAAGACAACCTCTCTGAAATCATCCTTTCCATAATTTTGCCCATATGCGCAGTAAGAGCTATCGGTCTATAATTTCCCGGGTCAGTTGACTCTCTACCAGGTTTCAAAATAGGTATAATAATCGCCTCTTTCCAATTCTTCGGTATCAACCCCTCCAACCAAACTTTATTATATAGATCCAACAACGTCCTTTTCATTTTAGTACCTAAATGCGTAATCATCCCATATGTGACCC